ATCACCGCAGGGAGGCGGGATGGGGGGGCGGGTGGAAGCGAGCTGAGCTCGGCTGCTGCGAGAGAGGAGCCGGGGCCGCCGCCCGCGCCCGCCCCGCTGCCCCTCGCCGCGCCGGGCTGCCGGGGCCGCCGCCGTCCCCTCCGGAGGCTTTAGCTGGGCTGGCGCTGCCGCTGCTGCGGGGAGCTGCTTCCCATCGCGGTGCCTGTCGAGTCTGCCCCCGGCCCCGCCGCTCGCCTTCTACTTTATCTCTCGCAGCGGCGTCTGCCGCTCCTTGACAGACGTAAGCGCGGAGCGGAGATCCCCGCCCCGAGCCGCTCCCCCCCGCCCTCCCGGGCGGCCCCTCCGCCGCCCCGTGCCGGCCCCCTCCGCCGCCGCTCCCCGCTGCTGGGCAGCTTTTAAAGAGCCCTTTCCACGCCGCCCTGCCCCACCCGGGGGGGCTGCACGCCGCGCCCCTGCCCGCCGCGGAGGGCACCGCGCGTGTGTCTCGGTGTGTCTGTGTGATTTATGCCACGCGTGACCGCGACGCGCCGTGCGGCTCCTCCATGCCCTCCCTGCCTCCTTCCCAGCCCTGCCAAGCGCGGGATGGGCCCCGCGGGCTGCGGAAGGGCTGCGGGCAGCGCGGAGGTTCCGCGAGTGGCGTGGGGCAGCGGAGGCGCTGCCCGGCCTCGGGCTCCGCGCTGCGCGCAGCTTCACCCACTTCAAACCCCCTCTTCGTGCGCTCTTTTTAAGCTCGGCGGGCCCGGGCAGGATGTTTATACTGCGCAATGTAAACACGGGCTCGGGGGTGCTTTAATAAAAAGAAATCGGCGAAAACTCCCGCTGCCTCGCGAAATGCCCTTTTCTGCCTCCGCCGCCGCTCCGGGGCCGGGAACGGGCTTCGGAGCCCTCGGCTGCTCCGAGGCTGCTTTAGGGATGAGGCTGGGTTGGTTTGGTTTGGGTTCTTTGGGGTTTTTTTCGGGGGGGTGTATATAAATCTGTGCTGGAGTGTGGCGGCTCCGTGCCCGGAGTTTGACGCTCAGCTCCGGCGGTGCCGCGGGCACACGCGGCGGGTGGGGGGCAGGAGAACAGACAACCAGAGGGGCACAGACCCCCTTTTCTCCCTCCCCTCTCCCCCAAAATCCGCCTCTTTGAGCACCGTGCCGCCGGCAGAGCTGTCACTCGAGGTAAGTCCCTTGAAACCTTTGTCACCTTCGTCGCGGCCCGCGCGTGGAGAGCTGCGCGGTGCGGGGGGGTGGCATCGTGGGTGGGCACGGGACAAGCAGCCGGGGCTCTCGGGGCTGCCGATGTGCCTGATCCCTCCCGACATTGGGGAAAAGGAAAGAGAAAGAAAAAGGGGGAAAAAAAAACCCAGCCCGTCCCCCCGCGCCCCGTTGCAGCGGTCGCCGCGGGGCTGTGGGCGCATCGCGCATCCCTGAGCGAAGAGAGAGAGGGGACACCCCCCTCGCCAAGCCCCTCGTTTTCCAGCTTGGCTTTTCAAGGTTTTAATGATAATTTAATACCTTTTAAAGGAAAGATAGGCACCGATCGGGTTTCCAAACTCCCTGCGCGTTATTGGCGAGCAGTTGTGAGCAGCCTCCGGGGCGCCTGGCACATCTGTGGTGCGACCAAGAGGGCTTTCACATCAGGGTTTTCTTTTTTCTTTTTTTTACCTTTCTATCCTCCCCCCTCCCGTCTTTTCCACCCTTTTCGAGAAAAAAAAATATCCTTCAGACAGCACCGGTCCTCCCGTTCCCGGTGCAAACGGGCCCGGGACAGGCACGGGAGAGCCCTGGGCAAGCCCCAGGCCGGGGGCAGGTAGCCAGGGAGGAGGTGGGAGGAGGTTGGGACAGTTATTTCTGGAGCTTTTCCCCGGAGGAGGAGGAGAACGAGCAGCTCCGGCTGCTCCCTCTGCGCGGAGGAGGGAGGCTGCTCGGGGAGCGGGGAAAGCACCCCAAAAATCGCTTTTTTTGGGAAGAAATCACCTTCCCCGGGGCTTACATCCCCGAAGAGGCTGGTGCAGAATATTCCCTCTGCTTCTCGTTGCATTTTTTTTTTATTTTTGCTGTGGGAGAGCATCTCTAACCCTGAGCTTTGCTCCGCATCGAATGTTCCCCCCCGGCTCGCGAAGAGGGTGGGTTTCTTTGCTTTCTATCACTCTGCCACCGAATCTCCCCGATCTGCCCCCAAAACATCCGAGGACGGAGCTCTAAACACAGCACAAAGCGCCCGTGGAAAAATCCCGTTCAAATCGTTTGCCACCGGCAGCTTTTCCACGAGGAAATAAAATATCTCCGAGTTAAAAAAACCCGAAACTCTCCGTGGAAATCAAATTCTTCCCCTCAAAGAAAATCAGTCCCTTCACGAGTGCCCTTTCCCCTTCTCGCAGTATCTTTTAGGAGGGGGAAGATTTGGTTTCCGATGCATTTATTACAGCTGGCAAAAGTTAAAAATGGGAATATCTCGCTCCGGGTCCTATAGGCCTCGTCGTGGGAATTGCAGAAACGTTGGGGGGTTTTAATCCGAGCGCACGAGCTGAGGAAAGGAGAGTTTTGAGGAGGAAAAGCCTGATGTATGAGGAGGAGGAGGAGGATGGTGTGGGGAAAAACGGGGCTCGCTTTTGGTGTTGTCTGCTCGTGATTTGGGTGGATTAATCGTGTTCTCCTCAGCCCCCGACGGGCAGAGATGAAAAGAAGGGAGCAAAAGAAGAAACGACAAAAATTAAATTATCATCTGGCGCAATTAGCCTCTCCCATCCCGCTCGGAGGCGCTTTCCCGACCCCGCCAACACCCCCGGCCCCGCTGCGCTTCCCACCCGGCTCCTTCCCTCCCCCTGCCCGAAACTCGGGCCGTGTTTTGTGTAAAAATAGACAAATCCGAGCTTTCTTCCTTTTCCTGCGCCGAAGGTATTTTTCCTAGCTAATTGCTTAAGTGAAGTCAAGTCGGCGAGCAGGCCGGTGTAACCCGAGGATGGAAATGGATCTAGGTGGGATTGTTAGAGGCGGGCTGGGTGCTGCTCCGACAGGGGCCGGGGTGTTCCTGCGAGCCCGGACCACCCAGGCCGAGGGGAGTGACCGCCCCGTGTCCCCCTCCCCGCTGTCCTGCTTTGCATTAACACCACCCGCGGGACCCCCCCTGTTCCCCAGCACCAGCCTTTCCCCCTCTGCTTTGGGGGTTTTTTATTTTCTTATTTTTTTATTTATTTTTTTTTTTCAGTCGCCGCCATCCCCGTGGCCGCTGGCCCCAAATCCGCGGCGAATTGATCCCTAAATGTTTATTTAAAGGCGAGGGGGTGCGTTGGAGCGAGGGGGTCGAGGATGGAGGGAGGAGAGCTGGAAGCACCGAGGGAGAGATGTTTTTAGGGAGACCCGAACATTTTTTACGGTCCATCACATTGCCCCACGCGTGGCACCTTTCCCAGTCCCAGCCTTGGCCTCTCGCCTTCCTGGAGGCAAAACCCCTTCTCCAGGGCCGAACGGGACGTGGAGAAGGTTTTGGGAGAGCAGAAGCCGAAATTGGGAGCGCAGCAGAGCTGCCCGAGTGCCTGAGGCGGCTGCGGGGAGGTGCGGGCTGGCTGTCACCGCCGTGCCTCAGGCAGAGGTTCAGGCTTTGGTCAGAAAGAAAAAAAAAAAAAAAAAAAGGAAAATCTTAATCTCCCTCTTTTTGTCTCCCTTTTCCCCCCTCTGCCCGTCCCGAGTCTCCCCCCGCCCTTCAAGCCCAGATTTTCCATGACGTCCTTCAGTGAAATATTGCAGCACAGGAATTTACAGCCTTCTTCAGCTCGGGATTTTTTTGCTGTGCAGTTTTCTGGCAGGACCCGGTCCCTGCAATACAAATCGGTTCCAGCGATAATCAGCTCCGAGCGCTACCACTCAGACACAATCGCTTCCCACAGAGATCTTCCAAATATCTCCGGGTATTTTTATCCCCGCTCAGGGACGGATAGCTAGAATGCTTTCCCGGGGGGACGCTTTTGGGCTGGCTGGGATTCAGCCCCGAAGGATTTGGTACCAAGAGAAACAGCGGGGTTGAGCCGGAGCAGGGCTGGGACTCGGCGAGTGATGCTCCCACATCCCACAAATTCGCCCTTAAAGGCGGCTCGAATTGTAAATCCAGATGTAAAACCAGGTGTAAATCCAGGTGTAAATCCGTTCCTGAGACATTCAGGCTTTCCTGGACGAGGTTTCTTCCCTGGGGGCCCGGGGCTGGGGATGCTCCCAAAGCAAACAGAGCCCTTGGGATGGGATATCCCCTCTCCTAACAACTTGGCATAGCGGTGGCATCCAAACAAAATTCATAACCACTTCCAGCTTTTCCAGCACCAAATCCCGTCAGGATAGAGATAAAATTGTGCCGGAGAAACCTCTGGATTCGCTGCTGAGCTTTTTGTCATCGGGAACCACCTCCAGCCCCCGGCGACTCCCGATGCCAAAAGTCCGGCTGGGCCAAGCCAGGCCGGGGGTCTCCACCAAACGAGGAGGACGAGGGAATTCCAGGGGGTTCAGCCTCATTTCCAGCCTTATAGAACCTTTTTGTTGTTTTGGGTTTTTTTTGTTGGGTTTTTTTTGTTGTTGTTGTTTTTTGGTTTTTTGGGTTTTTTTTTGTTTTGTTTTTTCCCCAAGTTTAAAGCTTGTTGTTTTGTTTTTTGTTGTTGTTGGGGTTTTTTTTTGTTTTTTTGTTGGTTTTTTTTGTTTGTTTGTTTTTTGTTTTTTCCCCAAGTTTAAAGTAAAACCCTGTCGAAATCCCATCAATGTGCCGGTGCTGGAGGAAAGGGGAGTTTTAGCATCGGGCAGGCGAGGGTCACCAGCCCCATTTCGGGGTGTCCCACAAAATCCGTCTGCACCGAGAGGTGGGAGAATACGGAATATTCAGACGGAATATCCCCCATAAAGGAAGAACAGGTTATTTTCTTCCGCGGGTGCCAAAAGCCGCAGGGACCGTCCATTATGGGGATAAATAACGAGCAAGGTGGCGGCGTGGATTGCTCCTAAACACCGCAGAAAACAAACACGGCGGGTTTGGGGAAGGATCCGGCCTCCCTTTTGCAGGGGACAGCACCCTGGGGGTGAGGACAGCGCGAGGAAAACCCCGAGGGGAGGCTGGGGGGACCCACGCGAGCCCCGGGGCGCAGATCCAGGTGGAGCTAAAAGGGATTTGGTCCAACCCGGTCTGACCCGGGACATCGAGCATCACCCGGCCGGGGGTGGCAGCAGCTGGGCACTGCCCTGGGCAGGGGTCGGGGTCCCCAGCAGCCAGCACCCCTTGTGCCTTGTCAAACCCGGTCTGACCCGGGACATCACCCGGCCGGGGGTGGCAGCAGCTGGGCACTGCCCTGGGCAGGGGTCGGGGTCCCCAGCAGCCAGCACCCCTTTGTGATTTGTCTCCTGCAGAACCACCCAGGCAGGACAGGCGATGCCCCGCGGGGAGGGATGCGGCAGGGACAGAGGGATGCTGAGGATCGGGATGTCCCTGGAGGTACCGCCCGGCCGGGGGAGCAAAACCCCGGTGCGAGGACGTCCCTGGTGCTGCGCGGTGCCCAGGGACACAGCACTTGCAAAAGCAGCTTTTGCTGTAGGGAAGCTCGGAGTATTCCTGTGAAAAAAGGAAAATCGCACAGGAGCGGGGCTGGGCTGCACAACGGCCTGGTGGGCTGCATTAGTTTAAGCTGATTTTTACAGTCAATCCCGCACAGAATCTCCGTGTCCCCCCCTTTCCCAGCCCAAAAAGGGGGTTCGGGACACGCGCTCCCAAACACCGGCAGAAATTCCTGCTGTAAACACCGGAGTTGTGTTCTCCCCGAGTCTTTCCTTGCAAAGATCTGGGGATGGTTTGCCTTGGAAGCTTTCCCGACAAAAAACTGGTTTCCACCGCCAGAATTCCCAAATAATGCTGTCGTGCATCAGCGGGTTCTGCGTGGTGCAGGCTCGTGGACCTCTCTGCTTTGCAGCTGCCAGAGCAGAGAGTTAAAATACACCAAAAATTGGTTTATCATCTTTCCCACCGCCTGATAACAGAGCAGCTCCTCGTAAATCGATCCCTTTTGCACAACCAGCACGTACTTAAATATTAAAAGCGACCTGGAGGGGCTTTAAAAAATGTTCTGCAGGCAATAAAAAGCTCGGCTGGCATTCCCGGGAAAGATGTGCTGTGGATACGTGAAATGCCCGAGCCAAGGTGGGGAAACTGC